GACGCGTCTGCCTATATCGCCTCCATCTTCTCCAAAACTCCGTTCATCAATCTTGTTTATCCTTTCAAAGAGCCAGTTCTTGGTTTAATTGATCTTTTATATTGTTTTCTTGGTCTCTATGTCTTTTCTGCTCTGATCTTTATTATTTCCTTCCTTCTGCTTATGCTGGGCTTTTCTTGTTGCTCTCTTTCTAATTCTTTTGAGTTGTAGGGAATTTATTACCATTTTTTTCTTGTTTTTTGAGGTAGGCCTGTAGAGTTATGAACTTCCTTCTCAAGACTGCTTTCACTGTGTCCCATAGATTTTGGATTGGTGTGTTTTCTTTGTCGTTTGTTACCAGGATGCTTATTTTTTCTTTGATCTCTTGGTAACCCAATCATTGTGTAATAGCATGCTAGTTAGCCTCTAACTGTTTGAATTTTTTTCATTGTTTTTTTTTTTGTAGTTGATTTTTAATTTTATGCCATTGTAATCTGAGAAGATGCTTGATATTATTTCTATCTTCTTGAATTTGAAGAGACTTTGCCTGTGTCCCAATGTGTGGTCTATCTTTGAAAATGTCCTGTGTGCACTTGAGAAGAATGTATATTCTGTAGCTTTTTGAAATGTTCTGAAGATGTCAATTAATTCCATCTGATTTAGTGAGTCATTTAGGACTGATGTTTCTTTGCTGATTTTTTTGTTTAGAGGATTTGTCCAGTGGTGTCAGTGGGGTATTAAAGTCCCTTATCCCTTACTATGACTGTATTGCTGTCGATCTCTCTCTTGATATCTTCCAGGAATTTTTTTTATGTATTTGAGTGCTCCTATATTGGGTGCATAAATGTTTACCAGAGTTATATCCTCTTGTTGAATTGCTCCCTTTAGTATTATGAAGTGACCTTTCTTATCTCTTAGGGGCTTCACTTTGAGGTCCAATTTTTCAGATATAAGCATTGCTACCCTAGTTTTCATTTCCATTCACCTGAAATTTTTTTTCCCATCCCCTTACTATCAGTCTGTGTGAGTCCTTTGTTCTGAGGTGGGTCTCTTGTAGACAGCAGATATACGGGTCATGATTTCTTATCCATTCAACTACCCTGTTTTTGATTGGAACATTTAATCCACTTTCATTTAAGGTCATTATTGATTAGGTGCCCAGTGCGCAAATTCGTGCAGCTTAAAAGAAACTGGGCCACGAGGTTGCTGTGGGCATGGGAGCAGGTCTCCTCCCATCCTTCGTGCCCCTGCCCAACCCTTCCTGCTGTGGCCCCCGGTCCCCTGTCTGCCAGCAGCCCCGCTCCCGCCACTGCGACTCCCACATGGTGATGGCACCTGCCCCACTCACACACACTGACAGCATGGAGTGATTGGGGCCGGCGCTGTCAGCGGGTACAAGCAGCAGCTGCTGCCCCGATCGCCCCTCAGGAGAAGAGGGAGGTGGAGAAGACCTCAGGGTGATCAGGGCTGGCAGCTGCCACTCGCTCCCGCTGATGGTGCTGAGTGATTGGTATTGGTGCCGGGCACCAGCAGCAGGTGTGAGCGGCGTCTGCTGCCGGTACAAGAGGCAGCTGCTGGGCCCGATCACCTCTCAGGAGCAGGGGGAGGTGGAGAAGCCCTGGGGGGCGATTGGGGCCAGCAGCGGGTGTGAGCGGGTCCAGTGCCAGCAGCAGGTACAAGCGCCAGGCGGGACCGTGGTGCGTGGGAGCAAAGAATTTTCAGTAACCACCAGAGGCTCACCCCGATGACAATGACTGGCGCCCTGCCTTGGTCTGGCACCCCCGCTCACCTGCTCCACCATCCTGCCACGGCCAATGTCCGCCATGTTCCCCGCTCTGCTGCCGATGCCTGCTATGTTCCGAAGTGTGCCCCCGGTCGTCAGCGCATGTCATAGCGACCGGTTGTTCCGCCGTTTGGTCTATTTGCATATTAGGGTTTTCTATATATAGATGGGTAGGTTTTTGTTTGTTGCCATTTTTATTCTTTGTGCCTGTGTTCCTACTTCCCTTCCTATTTCTTCTTTTCACAGCAGTCCCTTTAGCATTTCTTCCATTGCGATCCCTTATAGGTAACTTTCTGTCTCTCTCTGTCAGCTTTTAAGATTCTTTGTCAGTGGTGTTTGCCAATTTAATTATGATGTGTCTTATTGTCGGTCTTTTGGGGTTCATCTTGTTTGGGATCCTGTTAGCTTCTTGGACTTGGATGAGTTATTTCTTCCCAGTATCAGGGAAGTTTTCTGTCATTATTTTTTCAAAAAGTTTTCTTCATTATTTCTATTCCTTTCTCAGTTTCCTTTTTTTTATTTTAATATATTTTATTGATTTTTTACAGAGAGGAAGGGAGAGGAATAGAGAGTTAGAAACATCGATCAGCTGCCTCCTGCACACCCCCAACTGGGGATGTGCCCGCAACCAAGGCGCATGCCCTTGACCAGAATCGAACTTGGGACCTTTCAGTCCGCAGGCCGGCACTCTATACACTGTGCCAAACCAGTTAAGGCAGTTAGTGAAAATTTTTTGTTCCCATGCACCACAGTCCTGCCCGGCGCTCGCACCTGCTGCTAGCCCTGCTTGCAGCCGCTGCTGGCACCCAGCGCTGGCCCAGATCACTCAGTGCCATCCCTGATCGTTTGGCGCCGTCAGGAGGTGCAAGCTGCAGCTACCAGCCCCAATTGCCCCTCAGGACTTCTCCACCTCCCCCTGCTCCTGAGGGGTGATCAGGGCCGGCAGCCACCTCTAGCACCTGCTGCCGGCAATGGCCCTGCTCACACCCACTGCCAGCACCGGCCCCACTCGCACCTGCAGCGGGTGCTGGAGCCAATGCTTTTACCCGCTGCCGGCGCCTGGCGCTAGTCCCAATCACTCGGCACTGACAGCGGGTGCAAGTGACAGCTGCCGGCCCCGATTGCCCATAAGGGCTTCTCCACCTCCCCATGCTCCTGAGGGGAAATTGGCTCGCCTGCAGGCCCCAGCCTCTATTGCTCGTTGCCATCCATGGGTCTGAGCAGGGCCAGCGCCATCAGCGTGTGGGAGTGGCAGCGGGAGCGGAGTTGCCAGCAGACAGGGCCAGGGGCCATGGTGAGAGGGGCTGGGCAGGGGAGCAGAGGATGGGCCGAGACCCGCTCCTGTGCCCACCGCAGCCTCACGGCCCACAGTGCCTTTCAAGGTGCACAAATTCATGCACTGGGTCCCTAGTACCACATAAAAGCATTCTGGAATTAGACAAGTTTGGGAATGATATATACTATTATCCCTGTATGAGAGATTCTTCATACACATTAGTGTTGAAAAATCCTACAGTAAAGAAAACTTTTAGCTTTATTTAGTTTGATCACGAAACTCTTCTGTTGGAAGACCTATTACTATGTTGCATGTGGGTGGTATTTTACTGGATACCATTCCAAAGACATTTTCCCAAAAGTTAGAATTAAGATTAAGAATGCCCAGTATCACAGTTGTTACTTAGTATGGCTCTCTGGAATTCCTGGCTGTTGCATTAAGAATCAAAGAGTTTTAGGTATAATTATTTAAAGGAAAACAACCAATATTTGTGGGTAATATGATTGTCACTAAGAAATTCCAAGAAAATAATTTGAAAGACTATTAAAACTAATAATTGAGTTCAGTGGTATGACTGGCAATAATTAAAACCTCAATAGTTTTCTGTAATCCCAGGCATGACAATATGAAAATTATTATTAGAAGAGGGAT